ATCTATGTTCTCCAGGGGCAGTCGAGATCTATATTATATCTTACGAGGTTAGACCTCATGCAGTGTTGTTATTTAATGTGTTTTGTCAGGATGATGATTCCATGGACAAAGATGGAAATGAACTGGATGGAGAATGCTCCCGTCCGCAAAAACATGCGAAGAGTCCTGAACTTGCTCGAGAATTTCTTCTAGATGCTGCAACTGTTATTTTCAAGGAACAGGCATGTTCAGTCTGCTGATGTTATTGTGTGTTAAGTTCGTCATTGTTCATTTTATAAACTCAACTCCTTGTTTGTTTACCTGTGTTAACATAAATTAAGATCCTTCATTTGTCATAGTGTATTCTTAAACCTTGTTATACAATTCAGTCTGTAAGACAGAGGGTGCAATGTGGAAAGTAAGAGAGATAAATTGTATTTTCTATGGAAGGAATGATGTCAATACTGGTGTTGTCAATGGTGTCTAGGGAATGCAATCACAATAGTTCACTATTATTACTACTTAAACCTTTTTATATAACTATTGAGGAAATGGTATTTAGAACTTGCATTTTCCTTGGAGAAACTATGGTGGGGAAAGGGTGTTCATAGCAGAGGTGCTTAAATTTTGGTGTTCCGGACAAAAGTAAACTTATGTTGGCATGATGCTTTACAACTAGTCACTGTGTGTGTGTGTGTGGAATGCTGGCAGATTTGTTAGTATGCAAACGTTGTGTGTGACTGTCATATATGTATTCTCTGTCTGATTCTGAATGCCCATCTTTTAGGTGGAAAAAGCATTTAGAGAAGGAACAGCTCGTCAAAATGCACATAGCATCTTTGTTTGTCTTGCACTAAAGCTGCTGGAAGAACGAGTTCACGTTGCTTGCAAAGATATAATTACGCTTGAAAAGCAGGTCTTAAATCTTGTTATATTTCCGACCGAAAAAATCTTGTCATATATTCAAAAGATAACATACTAGGTAGAAAAATGAGAACAGCCATTTTACGATTTAGGAGGAACACTTCTGATGATTTTGTACCTTTTCCGTACAGATGAAGCTTCTAGAAGAGGAAGAAAAAGAAAAGCGTGAAGAAGAAGAGCGCAAAGAGAGGAGAAGAACAAAAGAAAAAGAGAAAAAATTGCGAAGGAAGGAGAGGTTGAAAGGGAAAGAGAAAGATAAAGATACGGAATGTTCTGAAGTAAATGAAACTCCTGCTCTTGATGTTGTCTCAAAGGAAGAATCATCACTAAATGCTTATGAGGAGCCTAATAGTTCCATTAGCTGCAAGGATTCAGTTAGTGAAGCTGATGATCAGATTCTATCTACGCCTGGATCTCCTGAGATTACTGATGATCAGTTCCAAAATGATTTTATTGTTTCAAAAAGTGAAAACAATTGTCATGATAGTCTTGATGATGAAATTACCAATGGAAGAGGCGATACTGGTTCTTTTACAGTTGAGCAATCAAAGTTTTCACGACGGAGATTGAAATTTAGGAGAGAAGCTCAACTAGAGGCATCTTTGAAGTGGTCTGACTGGCGCAGATATGCTGCTGTTTCAGATAGTGCTTCTGTGGTTAGTAGATCCGAGTCGAGATGTAATGCTGATAATTTTGAGACTACATCAAGGGGCATCAATGGATCAAACAAGCAATCAAGAGTGAATGCCCTGAAGTCCAATGGTCGACATAGTGGTCCTAAGTTTACTGAGAAGTTTCTTTCCCCAAGTAACAGGATGAGTGACAGATACGAATTCAATTCTTGCAGCTGTAACAAAAACACTGAATATAGAGCAAAGGTAGAGCCCCATGTTTCTGCTGCCAGAGTGGGATGGGAGGATAAAACTGCAAGTCTGTCAGAATCTGCATTAGATTTGTCCAAGCAATTCTATCATGGTAACAGGTATAACCAAGTAGGAGACGTGCAAGTTAGTTGTGTAAGACCCAAAAGCAAAATCAATTCTGGGGACAATCCTGGTAGAGATTTGGTTCATCCCAAGAAAATTTGGGACCCCTTGTATACTAGAAGTAACTCAGACTCTGATGTTACCTTGCGGTCATCTGCTTTCAAGGATGAAGATAAAATCATGAAGTCACCTGGTGACATATGTACAGGTGAAGATGGGGCAGATACAGGTGAAATTTATGAGGATAAGAACTTAAAGGAATCAAGAAAATCCAGCACAGGAATGGCTGTCAACTGTCAGAGTGAATTTCATGCCGGAGCACAGGATTCTTGCAACCCAGCGAAACCCACTTATGAGGAGATTGGATTATGCCCTGTCAGTTCTGTACTTAGCTCCATTGACTCTGCATCAAATGGAACTTCTGACCCCACTGTGAGCAGCTGCACTTCTAATTCCGATAACTGCTCATCATGCCCAAGTGAGGGAGATACCCATACAACGTCGTCAAATCATGGACATCAGGAATCTTCGTCTACATCAGATTCAGAAGATGCCAGCCAGCAATCAGGAGGAAAGGAAACTTCTCTATTCATTCAAAATGGTTTCCGAGAGTGCCATGATGTTGGCATGGAGAATAATCAGAATGAAAAAAGAGGAGAGTCTATGGAAAGCAGGACACCGATTGGTCCTTCACTGAGTGGAGCAGGGAGTAACGTTTTTGGGAGTCCAACAAAAATTGCTCAGATTTTTGATAGTGGTTTGTCTGCTGTTAATGTGGGTTCTCAGCATCATGGCATGCTTTCTTCGATGCATAACCAAAATGTACAGTTCCCCGTTTTTCAAGGTCCTTCAACAATGGGTTACTATCAACAAAGTCCAGTTTCATGGCCTGCTGCTCCAGCTAATGGAATGCTAACATATCCAAACCACTACTTATATGCTGGTCCTCTTGGGTATGGTATAAATGGAAATTCAGGCTTCTGCATGCAGTATCCTGTGCAGCACGTACCTCCATTGTTTACCCCTGGCCCCGTTCCAATTTATCAGCCAGTCATCAACAGAGAGGAGCAGAATCAGATATCTACCCCGTGTATGCAAGACTCTCCCAATGAAGCTGATACAGAGAGTGTGGATCCATCTGGAGCATATTCAAGGCAAGCACCACCAACTGGAGAAAGAGCGCAAGATGATAATTCTGGAAAATTGCATACGATTAATGATGGCTTTTCCTTGTTCCATTATGGGGGTCCTGTTGCTAATCCACCAGGATATATGCCTTCGGAAGAACAGACCGTTGTGGATTCTCCTTTAAAATGTTCGGATCATGTTGATAATGATCAGGCGTGTTACAAGAAAGAGGCGACCATTGAAGAATACAACCTGTTTGCAGCAAGTAACGGTATAAGGTTTCAATTCTTCTGAGGTAAGAAGGCGTGAGGTGGCTGTTGAGGAATGCAGTCCCCTATCTTCTTACATGGCGACCGAAGGTTTGTGGTACTCAATAATCTTCCTTTGAAAAATTCCAATTTTTAGCTCAATAGTTTTGCGTTTTTCGTTTTAGTTGTTCGATTTGCCCCATTGTTTTTTTTCCCCTTAAATAGAGAGAAAAGGTTGGGAGAGTGCTACAAAGTTTGAAGAGTGTTCTTTTTTCTTTTCTTAATTAATGAAAAATTTGTTGGTATGGAAGTTCTCTTGTATTTTAGAGCTTGTTTTAGGATTTTGAACCTCCTAAAACATTCTTATTAAAAGAATTTTCTTGGATGATGAAAATAATGGAGCTTATATGATGAGGAAGTTATGTGTTGGCTTCAGTGCAAATCATTGAGTTTCAAGTTTATTATGCTCACTGAAATTCTGTGTGTTACATAAATTTTGATGGCTTGAAATTTTGTTTACCATTAGATTGATCTCCATCTAGTGATCACGATTTTCTCCCCTCCTAATATCTCTCTTTCCCGTCTCTCCTATTTAAAACGATTAAGTCACGTCAACATCTTATTTTGAATTTTTTATATAGAAAAAAAATACAAAAAGGAAAGTGTGAGAGGTGGGAGGAAAGAAGATGGTAATAGGAGGAGAGAGAGTTGGGGATAATGTATTGATATAGTGTTTGGCACTCAAACAAAATTAATTGTACACTTCAAACTTTCTATATTTTGAAAGAAAATTATTCTTCTGAAGAGTGCACAATTACATTTTTTGAGTGCAAATAACACTATCCTAAACATTTATATGGTGTAGAATGTGCCACATAATTTGGTACACGATTTAGTAGGGGTGCAACTTGGGTTGGGTTAGCCTGAATTTATTCATGCCTAACTCGATTTCAAACTGAATCGGACGGGTTAGAATGAAGAAAAAATCTGCCCAAACCCAATTCGACCTCAACTCGATCGTTTATTGGATTGGGTTGGGTTGATGCCTTGTCTACCCATACCAACCCAACCCCAACCTGATTTTAAGTCCGAATTTGCTCATGTACATATTACCTATCCACTTTATATAGACTATATTACTTACGTAGAAGTTTTGGAATGCATATACTTGAAGTTTGTTTGCAGTTTCCTTATTAATAATGAAAGATAGTGTTACTTTTACATTTCTTTTGATTGAAACTTTGTTATATGTCTTGTAATTTTATTTCAACTTCACATGGTTGAAACATTGAAAATGGTATCCAAGTTGTTTGGTTTAAAATTTGAAAAATCATGCAAAATAAGGGGTCATAAGATTGAACTCGATAAAGTTTGACAAACTCGAATCTAACCCGAGTAAGCCCAAACTCAATTAAAACATGAACCTAACTAAACTCACATGGACCTGAACTCAATCGAAACTCGAAAGATAAAGAGTAGTTAATTTCTACATGCACGTTCAAAGATCGAAGTTTAGGAATTCATATGCCACATAAGTTAGAAAAACATGTCGGACTAAACAACTTTTTCCCATTCGAATGCCTGGTGAACAAGTTCAATGACCTTAAACGGGAGTCCAATTTTCAAACAGAGGTAAGCAGAAGCTACCTAACTTGCTCAGCACGGCACAGTGCTTAAATGGCCCAAAAGAAACATAACGCAGGGAGCAGGGCAAAAGAAACTGAGTCTTCAAAAATTAGACAATGTGAATCTATAAATTTCAGTCGAATCCATTGTTTCTTGCACACGAAATTGTCAAAGTTTAATTCAACTATCAGTTTCTGGCCCCAACAAACTTTAATACAGCAAGATAAAAACCAGGCTCATCGACAAATTTAGTTAGTTCGAAAGAATGTTCTGCTGCAGCTTCCAATAAAGTACTCTTTTCAGGCAAGTCAGAAGTTATAACATCTGGATATTGTCGTCGTTGCTGCTCCAAAACTTCGCACCTATACAAGGAACAGCCACAACTCAGAATCAAGAGTGATATTTTGAAAGAAAGCAACAGCTAATGTTAGATTTATCACTCTCCAAAAGATTTTCTCCTTTTTAATTTTAACACGAAACTTTCAATTTATGGATTCATACAGGCAAATATGATACTTTTGGGTGAGCCCTGAATGAAATGTGAGAAGGAGTCTATGGCAATTAATGACACTTCATCAAGGCAGAGAAGCACTAGTATATCAAGCATGAATGAAAAGAAAAATGGATGATATTATGAATCTCTGCAAGAAAATCACCTGGTGTAAAACACCTTCCAAGTGTTTTAAACACTTCGTCAAGTTTCAAGGGCACGGCTGGAAGGCAATAAAGGAACACCACATCTAAAGGCGCCCACTTATCAGGTACATATATCAATTCTCCTTGCCAACAGTTAACCATGTCATATTTTTCTTGAACGCCAGCTAAAACAAAAAGTGAATCATGGACAATGAGCAGGACACTGCAGGGTGATGATTCAACCAACCGATCCACAAATCCTTCAAAACCAATTGAAACCATAACCCTAGAAGTTTCTTCAATCTCTCCTGCGGATATAAGGCGATCAATCTTAAGGCTATAATCTTGGTCAGAACTGAAATCACCTGAATCAAGAAAGGACCAGTCTTTCTCAGCAAAATCGTCGAGGTTGATTATAGACACTACGCCTTCATTTGATGGAGCAGAAGCACCAAAAGATGATCGGCAAGCATGCAAAGACTGATGTGAAATACAAGGAAATGAAAGAGAAAGAAGAGGGACACAATGATTCCAGCGATAGACATGGTTATGAGCATATGTCAAGGTTGCGTTTGAAAACAAGGTAGGAACTGGCAGCTAGGCAAGGGAACGAAAAGACACCGAGATGAGAAAACAGAATTCATCGCACAAAACTACTGATTTTCCTTTCAGGATGTTTCTCGTGTAAAATGAACAATTCAAGAAGCTTAATTATTGATTAACAGAAATGAACCAAAAGGGTTTCTGTTAATATTTCGAAAGTAGCTCGGTTCAACTTGTTATCACCACCCTTACACTTATCTTTAAGATCAGAACCTCTGCATGTATGAACAGGAAAGAAAAAGAAAAACATTATTCTCAATCCTTAACTATTCAACTTCTGAAGGCTAACATCAATTCTGTTTCAGGAATTAAACAGAAAGGTAACACCTCATGAAAACCGCATACTCGAAAAACAGTGATCCCATAGTAGCATTATCACTCTTATGAACTTCCACACAGCCTTAAATCCTATATCCTTATCCGGAGGGAGATTATGTTATCAAGTCGGAATTCTATTGCACCAATTATTAACTTTCCTGGAACACAAATACCCAACAACAAGTGCTCATTTGTTTCACATTTCATAACCTGGAAGAAAACAAGATTATAAAACCCAAACTTTCCAAAGTCACCATCTTTCTTTATATTTTCCCTCCAGTTTCCAAGTAACCAAACACCCAACTAAAGTAGTCAACCAAACAAACAAACAAACAGAAAATAACTGATTTCTTCTATGCACAAATCATAAAAACGACGACACAAAACAGGAAATTTCAAAACATGAAAGGAAAACGAAAGTAGAAAATTAAAGGCATTGTTTGGTTCTACAGAATTTCAAATTTCAAATTGGTTTCTTTTGGGTGACGGTCAGAACAATATTTACTTACCCAGAGTCCTGCTTTGAACTTCAATGGCGAATGCAGAGCTCAGAGCCTCCTCTCAATGGCAGTCACTGCAAAGCTCTAGTCCTGACAGTTCGATTCCTCTCCCTTTAAACCCTAATTTGAACTTTTTGGGGTTCCATTTCCGCCGCTACTTTATCCTGAGAAAAAACTCACCAGAACCGAGTACTGTAGACTCTGTAAAAGTTAAGATGTTTCCTTTGGCACAAATGAAAGAAACACTTCTATCCTACGTCGCTCAATCGAAAGTAACAAAAAAATAAGTGTAAATTTTAAATTGAGAAAATTTAAAATAGGTCTAATTTTATAGGTCTATTTTTGAAATAGGTTTAATTTTCAGTAATTTCTTATTTTTGAAATAGGTTCAATTTTTTGTTATTTTGAACCCATATCAAAAGATCCCTTTTAAATTTTATCACCTTTAACATTAGATCTCGTAGCAATTAGCAAATGCATACCTTATCTTTTGAACATTCTAATATCATACATTAACTTATAAATTCGTGCAATGTTATACGTTCATTATTTAATCCGTCAAATTTGACCGTTAGTGATTACGTGACAAACAAATACATTGACCATACTTTTACTGACGTGGCAAATATTGACAATTGTGCCATGTAGAAAAAAAATAAAGTATAAATAAATAATTTTGAATGCCCAAAAAATTAATAAATTCGTCTCTCCCTATTATCTTCTTCATTCTCGTGTTCTCTCCCTCTCTCCCTTTCATGTTGCAACAATAGCCAAGGCGCAGCCGTCGCGGCACCACTATCATCCGACCACTAACGACCCAAAAATTAATATTTCTTGAATCATCTCTTCATACTTGGTCTGAATCTCTACCTTATTTCATTAAAATCATATTTACACCTCAAAATTTAGGGTTTATCTTAGAATAAATCACGATATTTCAATTTTTACACTGCTAAGTTTTCAAATATTATCAATTTAAACCTTTTGTCATTTTTACGGTAAGAATAGTTTAAACTGATAATATTTTACTATTTGTACCAAAGTTGATACCAAGTATGAGCTTTACCCTAATATTCTTTATAAGAGTAAATTGTAGAAATAATGTGAGACGGGAGAATCGAACCAAAGTTGGTGCGACCAAAGTTGATACCAAATTGGAGAAATAGTTAAATGTTGGTGCGACCATGTTTGGGATCAACTTTGGTGCTGACATATGAAACGGAAGAATCAAACTTAAAACTTTAAGGGCAGAAGTAATGTGATTAATCATTTGAGTTACAAGCCTGATATAATATATCCTCCCTTAATAAAATTTTGGTACTAAACTCATGTAACAAATCATCCCCACATAAAAACTGGGGGCATTAACTTTATTTTTTCTTTTTATTTCACCTATTTGAATCATTTATACTCCAACAAAGTGAAGGCTGTAAAAATATTACTCGTGGATAAATTTAGGGTCTATTATTGGAATTAAGTCTATTAACGTAAATTTCTAACTAGTGGTATGAGAACATCTCCGAAAAATGCGGTAAAACAACCAAAATTTTATTATAAAGAGTCAAATCTAAAGAAGGCGAAATGTGTATCGATGAAACGTAGTTCTAAGTGACGTGCCTTCTTAACTTCTTATCATATAAAATATTTATCCCACCTCCATATGATGATGTCTTTGAGATTTACGTTCCAATTTCCACCCAAAGAACAAATTCGTATATGGCCGGGGCATCATACAATCTTGACAACCCTTATGCCACGGATTGACATGTCCGTCGTAAATTCAGAATAGCCGCTGTTTTTGGAACGAATAAATAACATTTGTTCACGAGATTTGAACTCAAGATATGCCGAAACGGCGGCAACATTATACAAGAGTTGAGAGTAACCACTAACCACAATCAAGAACCAAACAACAACATCCAAGTCTACAGATAGCCAGTGAAAGCATTAACACCGTCATTAGGCCATCAAACTGGTAAGAATCGAGCACAAGAGCCCATCAGCTCCATAACAAGCCTAATATTCCCACCCCCACCATAGTACTAACGGAAAGAACAACTCTTGCATAACAACAGTTACGGATGGAAACGCGTTAATCTGTAATTACAACAGTTACAATTTCCAAATTTCCATCCCCTTTCCCATCCAAACTCTCACAATTCTGTGTGCAAGGCAGAGTTCATCCTGCTAATACCATCTATATATGCCTCCCTAAGATATGATATATATACTCCCTTATAAGATCAAGGTTTAACTAGTATACTTCTAAAGACAAACGCAACTTTTCGCTTAATATACCGAAACCATAGTTTATGCAAAGTAAAACAAAAGAGCTTATATGACAATACATAGATTCAAACTCACACCAACGTTCCACTTTGATAAACATCAAGCCTGCGTGCTATCAGAAACGACCTTAATCCAAACCATAACTGTTAAACAACCCATACTTTATGCACTAGGGTACACAAACAGATACAAAGACAGGAATATGTGTGTGTGTGTGTGTGTCTCTTTTAATTACTTGGTTCTTCAAAATCAATTCAAAAAGTGAAACGATCCAAAGTAGGAAAACAGAACTAGGATCAGAAAAACAACACTATTGTAATGGTCACTGGTTACAATGCTGCAGACATTTTGATGTCAGCATATACAAATTGTTGATAAAGTTCAACAAAACAACTTATTTAGCATACAAGGCATACTAAAATGCCGACAACGACAACTTAAATGCAGCTCTCAAGAGAAAGGATCCAATCCCAGACTAGAACAGAACTCACAGAAGCTGAGCATAAGAGAAAATTAACAGCAGAAAGAAATAAACGGAGACTCAATCAAATTGCATTACCGCAACTTTGACATGATCGAACCCTTGCCATTACTTAGTTCGATTACTCATAACCATTGCCGCACAATTCAGAAAACATAATTCAGTTCAACGTAGCAGCAATTTAGGCATCTTTGAGTGCATAAAATTGTTCACAGCTTAATTACTTAACAAAAAGTTCACATTTTGGTAAATAAACATTAAATTGATAACAAAAACGAGTAAAATTCATCCCTTTTTAGAGATCCAATGATGAGAAAATAACAAAAGCAAATACTAATTGTCATTAGAGAACTAGAACACTAATTAAACAACAACACTAACCAATCGCAATCTAATATCTTAAAACAAATACTAAAATTAGAACAAACCCAGTAGGCAGTGAGTGGAGTCCTGCGTGGTGAAACCATCAATTGGTTTTCGGGTCGGGCATGGGGAACAACCCGGAACTGGCACCTCTCGGTGGCGAAAAGCCCAAGAATTTCTGCAAATTGGTCCGAATACTGATCGAGCACAGAAAGTACAAAAACGCCATCGAACAGTCCGTCGGATCCTCCCCTTGCAGCCCTCGGTGGCTCATCTTCATCACCAGCCCAAAGGGCTTGAAGGGTAATTTCGCCACCGGCTTACCCTCAAACAGCGAGTTGAGCAGCCCGAAGACGACGAAGAGGACGAGGGCGACGACAGCGCCGGACTTGAACTTGAAGAGCGACAAATCCCGGCTGGATTCCTTGAGGCTGGTCTCGACGCGGTCGATCTTCTTGGTCTTGGATTTTTTGGTAATTTTGGCGGCGGAGGAGGAGTCGGTCTTCATGGTCTCGAGCTTCTTGGCGGCTTTGTCGATGGAGGAGCGGAGGGACTTGTAGGAGTTGGTGCGGTAGATGAGGACCCACGAGATCGCCTCGCAGATGATGGCGGTGCAGACGGATATGCCCACCACCGTCAAGCTGTCGGAGTACTTGAGGCCGGAGAGGAAGGAGGCGGTGGCCATCGGAAAATCGCCGAGAAAACGCGAGAAAATTGGAATGTCGGAGTGTGTGATCTGATTCGGTGGTGTGTTTACTTCAGTCTTCAGATTGTGAGATGTAGGTGTAGTTTTTCGATAGGCCTATATTGGTCTTGGGCCTTGCGACTTGGGCTTTTTCTTTTTTCTTTTTAATATTAATCCAATTGTTAAAAAATTCATATTTACCACGACTACCGGTAGATGCTTATATATGTAAAAGGATTTAAAATGACTGAAAACAGTTGAAAATGCTTTTGAAATCAATTTTTAGTAAAAATGTAAGTAAATCCGAGAAATTTTTTTAAAATGCTTATTTCAAAAAGCACATAACTGGTGCTTTTTCAAAATATAGTTCAAATATTTTTGGAACTCAAAAAAGGGTTTTATCAAAAGTGATTTTAGTTGTTTAAAAACACTTCCAAGCGACCTTAATTTTATAAGATCTGTCCCCAACAAAATCTCAGCGGCCTTCAATTGTTTTTGCTTGTAAGTCAACATCAAAAAGTTATTAACCTAGTCGAACGAAAAAGGTTAAGGGGAGTTGTGTAATATATAGAGTTTGATAAATTTTCATAGACCTATAAATATATGGATTTTTAAAGAGTTTAGTTGATGTTTTCATAAATCCATGTGGATTTTAATTGAATTTTATATAGATTTTAATGGAGTTTTGAGATTTTTAACATGGATTCATGGACTTTTTTTTATGATCAATTTTATTAATAAAATATTGATGTTTTCAAATTTTTACTACTGGTGATTATGACCATGGCAAAGTGATTGTTTGAGATAGCAGCAGCAACGATAATGGTGGAAATGCCAAGTAGTGATTGTCGGCAAGATGCTAGTAATGTGGTGCCTTTGGTGGTGGCGATAATAGTAAAGGTGGTGAGTGTTGGGGTGGTGGACGAATGTGGGTTTTTTGGGTGGGAACGGGGGGGGGTTGGTCTTGATGGGGTGGTGATGATGGTGGTAAAGGCGGTAGTTATGGTAATGGTGGTTATGATGGGGGAGTAGGTTGTCATAAGAGGTTGTGGTCGTGCCGATGGTGGTGAGGATGGACAAGGTATATAAGATGATGGTAATAGAGGTGGCAGTCGTAGTGATGGTAATGACGATAGCCACAAAACAAGTGATTATAAGAGGTTGTGGTACGAGGATGATGGTCGTGGCAAAATGGGATCATGCTGATTGTCTTTGCAACATAGTAGTGGTCGAGGTGGTGTGGTCTATGGTGGTGGTGATGATGATGATCCTCAATTGGATCTTTAATAATAGTAGTAGGAAAATATGAGATCTTTGCACAATTGGATTAATATAATAAGGTCCAAGGCCCAAGCCCAATAAAAAAGGGAGTTTTAATGAAAAGCCCACGATACTGTTCACTTTAATGAAAAACCACATTTTTACACTAAAAAGTCAAACTT